ATCAGAAGTTAGCTGGCAGGGCTGCGCTTTACAGCAGTAACATGCAGAGCATAGCAACCGCCCTGGGGGGAGGCTATAGGCCATAACAACCAGTTGACCAATCAACATGGGACAGGCTGCCCAAGCCTGGAAGAGCATCAATCCTGAGACTGTTGTGTACCCCTAGACACTCCCCTTGCTTTACCCAATGTATTCCCCACATCATGGTTTCTTGGGGTCCTTCTCCAAGCATCCACTGAGATGAATGGATGAAGGACCCAAGCTAATGGGGTTAGCTCGTTAAAAAACAACAATAAAAGATACCTGTCCCGTCTGAGCTTCCCAAGAGGCTTACAGTTAGTTCCAGAATACCTGTCCCATCTGAACCATCCAAAAGGCTTACATATTCTTATTAGAAGTCAGCAATTTATACTCCTAAATATTACTAAGCAGGACAAGGTGTGTGTGTGTGTGTGTGAGAGAGAGAGAGAGAGAGAGAGAGAGAGAGAGAGAGAGAGAGAAAGAGAGGAGAGAGGGGGGATTTACCAAATCATTGTTGAAAATGCTCCAGGGGTCCTGTGACAGTTAATCTTATCAACCTGACTGGATTAACAAGCCTGTAGGAGATGTCTATAGGGCACATTTTGAAGGAGTTGGCTGCATTTACAGACATAACCACATCCTCTGATGTGGTGCAGGGTTTATTCAGTTAATGAATTCAAAATCTGAGCAGACTGGTAGGGTGTGGTGGAGCTATGGAAGGCAGATCCTGGCTGGGAAAGGTGGGTCAGGGATGGGGTGGGCAGGGGATGTCTTTGGGGGATATGTCTTGCCCTGCCCCATCCCTGCTAGGGCTCTGCTCTGCTGAGACTTGAACAGATTCATTCCATTAATCCTGTGAGATTGCAGGTCAAAGGCAACCCATGCAAATATGCTATTCCTCATGTCCTCCCTGCTGTAGTAAGTGTTTCTGACTCAGGGGCATCCTGAGTCTCTTACCACAAAATTGTAGCAAGCTAATTTACATAGCATATAAATACTATGGTATAAAATCAAATATAGACCCAATAAATAGAAATAAACACTGAAACAATGTTAAAATGTTCAATTCATTTAAAATCATAAGCCCATTATTTGTTTGTTGTATTAGTCTTTTTGGTCTACATTACAAATACCACCAACTAGGTGGCTTAAGCAACAAAACTTTGCTCAAAGATCTGGAGATTTGAATTACAAACTGCTTTCAGACAGCTTTTTCTTACAAAATCCTCACATAGCTTCCCTGTCTCCATCCCCAACCCCACTCTGGAAAACACAATTTTAAATAAAAACAATAGCACTTATATCAACTTACTAGAATTTGAATTATGTTCCCTTAAATTCATAAGTTGAAGTTCTAACCATTCAACGTGACTAGTTTTGAAGCTAGGATGTTTGGTGGGAAAATTAAGGTTAAATAGCATCTTTAAAGTGGGACCTTAGTTTCCATGCCTATAAGATGAGAAAGACATCTAAGTCACCTCTTCTATGTATGTGCACAGGCCAACGTGGATGGAGCAAATCTCATAGGGCCCACATCTGTGGAGTTACTGCAGCCAATGACTGCTGAGAGAGGTAGAATTAGTCTTCCCCAGAGAGAAGCCCATAGTTGATTATCCAATACAAAATGGCTAACCCTAAAACATATACATACAAGTAACATTAAATGGGCTCATATACACACAGACACACATATACATGTGTGTGTAACAAGAATAAAGAAAAAGAGGGAGCAGGATTAGGGAGGTGATGTTGAAGGGAGGAGAGGAAAGAGAAAATTATGTAATTATTTTAATATTTAATTAAAAATAAAATAACTTTTAGAGTAGAATTCAGGACCAGGGAGATGGATAAGCAGCTAAGAGTACTATATATCACTTCCAGAGGATGTGAGTTCAATTCCAAGCAGCCACAGGACAACCAAACATCAACTGCAGTCCAGTTCCAAAGGATGAGACCCCCTCTCCTGGTATCAGACATGCACATGGATACACAGACATACATGCAAGCAAAACACCCACTCATGCACATAAGAAGAAATACATCTTTAAAAAATCCTTTAAAAAGTTGAATGCACGGACTCAGTGGTTAGGAGCACTACCTACTCTTCCAAAGGTCCTGAGTTCAATTCCCAGCAACCACATGGTGGCTCACGGCCACCTGTAATGAGATTTGGTGCCCTCTTCTGGCCTACAGGCATACATGCAAGCCAAACACTGGACATATAATAAATATATTTAAAAAAAAGTTGAATGCATACACACACACACACACACACACACACACACACACACACACACTAAAACGCAGAATTTTTCTATGTGTTGTTTCACATTCACTGTTTTAAATGCTATTACTTTAGTTTAATTATAGCTTCATTCAAGTGTTAGGAAAGGACTTTTTTTTTTTTTTTTTTTTTTTTTTTTTTTTTTTTTACAGGCGT